ACTCAGAATAAAAACTTCTCTTTAACCTCACTTTTGTGCGTCCTTTTCTCCTTACTGTGGCCGTACACTAGTGAGGCACGTTCACTGATGGGCCACACATCTGGGGTCATGTTGAGTGAATGCTAAATATATAAAGTATTATCCTATCTAGTATGTGTGTGTGCTTGATTTTTTTTGTGCATGTGTTTGTTTTTCATGAGCTACGAGAAGCTCATGCATTTGATGATTAGTTCTAAACAGCTAAAAACTGTTTCACAGTCACAGACTGTGATACATTGTACCTATCATTGCCCACTACTCTACTTAGAGTATGCCATCCTTATTTATACAGTCCATCTGTGTATGTGTGTCTGTTGGTGTATTTATATGTTTGTAATTATATAGTTATATGTACATTTCTGTCTCGTTTTTGTTTGTGAATGCCAGGACTCATGGATAGGCCTTAAGGAACTCAAAACCAATATATATATTTTAAATATAGTTAATGGATCCACTTCTCCAGTCTTCATGCTGTTGGAAGAGAACAGTTGCAAAGACAGTGCAAGACATGGATAAGACAAAACTAAAAAATAGTTTCCTTTTGGTTATGATTTACCAGCATTTTAAAAATAAACTTAAATCAGCCTAAAGCACTTTCCACATATCTGAGCATATTTTATTTCAACATATTTTAGAATCAAAATAGTATTTGTAGATATTACTGTGTTGTTGTTATGTGCTGTTGAGTTGAACCTGACTCATAGCGACCCCTCCTTGGGTTTCCGAGGCAATATCACTATGGAAGTAGATTGCCCAGCCTTCCTTCTGAGGAGTGGCTGGTGGGTCTGGACCGCCAGCCCTCTGGTTAGCAGTCAAGTGCTTTAGGCACTATGCTACCAGAGCTCCTGATAATATTGTAGATAGTGTAAATATTACTGTGTGCTAGGGATTGTCCTAAGTGAATTCATTTCTGTTTTATACTTTTCAATTCCAGAATTTCCATTTTTTTTGTATTTTTTATGTCTTTATTGATATTCTCTATGTGATAAGCAATGTCATCATATTTAAAAAAAATATATTCTCCCTTTTGTTTTTTGAACATATTTATAGTCGCTGCTTTGAAGTCTATGCTATGTAAAACATCTGGACTCCCTGACAACCAGCTGCTATTGACTTTTTCTTGTATATAGCTTACACTCACATGTTTCATGTCTCATAATTTTTTCTTGATTAGACATTGTGGATAATATAGAAAATCTGGATTCTGATAATCCATCCTCCTGAGGGTGGGTTTTTGTTTGGACTAATTCTGTGGTGTCTCTTTCCCTACAGTGAGTGGCCACTGAAGCCCCTGCTCAGTTTTTTAAAATTCTTGTCTTCATTTTCCATTTTTATTTTAAGCCTTAACCTTGGGCCAGAATAGCTAATTGGTTAGCGAATGATTAGTCAGAGGGTGTGTGTGCTTAATCACCTTCGGCCAGTAAGGCTCTCATTCATAATTGATAGATTTGTGTGCATTGGAGACCATACTAAAAATTGAGGCAGTTTGCAGGTTTGCCTTCATCTTACTTTCTGTGTCTGTAAGGCCTCATGGTCGCCCTGAGATGAGTTGCTTGCTAGTGTGTGTAGCCTTGCACCTGCACACAGCCTTGCAGACCAGCAAGGCTTACTTACCAAGACCCATTTTGGGGGTTTTGTTCTCTAGATCCCCTGTTAATTTCTGGCTGACCTACAAGTTTGTTGCTTTCTTTGATCCCTTTGGAAATCTCGGGCAAGCCTTGCCTGATTTGCCACTGAGATCACTTGTTTTTGACAACGCCCCTGGGCGTGGAATTTTTCTGTCCTTTCCCTGTTGGTTTTCATGGTCTGCTCTTTGGAGAACTTTGGAGCCATTGAGCTGGGTGGGTGATGGGAGCAGCCCCAAGTTAAAATGCCACAGCTTCTCACTCATTACTGAGATTCAGTGAATAGTCATAAATCAATGGCTCTCAATTTGTTTGATGTCTTTGGTCTGTGTCCCGAGTCCTTGCATGGTTGTTTTTGACAATTTTCCCCCTCTCCTCTGAAATAATTATAAGCCAAACAGAGTTAGGAAGTTAAACCCGTTAAAACCAAGAAATACCAGTGTTTGGATTGTTTGAGTTTCTGGTGAGAAGCCAGATCACTGAGCTTGAAGTAATTGTGGACACTCTGAAGGTGTGTATCACTTTGCGTTTTCAAGGGTTCTATTTAGCAAACGTCTATTAAATAGCTGCTTAATGGTCCTGGGGGTGCTTGGGTGGTGCATACGGTTAACTGAAAGGTTGGAAGTTCAAGTCCCCCCAATAGTGCCTCAGAAGAAGTAGTGCCTGGTGACTTACTTCTGAAAAACCAGCTATTAAAAACCCTCTGGATGGTTCTGCTCTGACTTACTCCATGAATTGGAGTCAGAGTTTAATCATCCTAACAGACCTGTTAAATATTTCCTGTTTCTCTCACTTTACACGTAAGGAAAGAGGTTTAGAGATGCTGAGATTTGCAGAATCAGTCCATGGTAGCCTCAACACTAGGGCACAGATCTGTTTTGCATTAAGTCCATTCTCACCCATCTCTAACCCTGGCCTCCTCTCTCCTCTGAAGGTGATATGCCTGAAATCTCTTGCCTGCTGAAGAAGGGCTGTGAGGCTGGCAACCTCCAGGGAATCCTTTCCCCAGCTGTTTCCAGTGGGAAGGAGGCCTGCAGAGATTCTCTGGACAAGGTTCTCTACTGGCGCATCTCCGAGGGCAAGGAGCTAATCCCCTGTGCTGCTGCTGACCGTCCCTGGCCGCCGCTTTCTCCCTCTGATCCACCTAAGCCTTACGAGTGTCCAGAGTGTGGCAAGAGCTTCACTCACATCTCCAACTACAAACGCCACAGGCGTGGCCACAGCGTCAAGAAGCCCTTCCAGTGTCCGCAGTGCAACCAGCGCCTGAGCTGGAGCTCGGACCTGGTCCGTCACCTGCGCACGCACAGTGGTGAGCGGCCTTTCAGGTGTGCACTCTGCGGGAAGGGCTTTGGCCTCAGCTCGGACTACGCACGCCACCAGCGCACGCATACTGGTGAGCGCCCCTTTCCGTGTTCCCAGTGTGCGCGGAGCTTCCGCCGCAGCTCAGAGCTGGCCACACACCAGCGGGTCCACACTGGGGAACGGCCGTTTCGCTGCGCTGACTGTGGCCGTGGCTTCAGCCGCAGCTCGTCGCTGCTCACGCACCAGCGCGTTCACACCGGGGAGCGGCCCTACCGGTGTGGGGACTGCGGCAAGTGCTTCCGCATCGGCCAGGACCTGGTCAAGCACCGGCGAACCCATACCGGTGAGAGGCCCTACAAGTGTGCGGATTGTACCAAGTGTTTTAGCCACAGTGCCAACCTCATCACGCACCGGCGTGTGCACACTGGTGAGAAGCCCTACAAGTGCCCTGAATGTGGGAGGAGCTTCAGCCAGAGCTCACACCTTGTCATCCACCAGAGAGCACACACGGGCGAGCGCCCCTACCGCTGTGGTGACTGTGACAAGAGCTTCAGTAGCCGCTCCTACCTCCTTAAGCACTGCAGGGTCCATAATGGTGAGAAGCCCTATGGCTGTGATGTGTGTGGAAAGAGTTTCAGTCAGAAGAACAACCTCATCACACACCAAAAATTGCATGGGGCAGACAGGCAGCCAGGGGTGACACCCTGTGTCCTGGCCGAGCTTGGACCTGGATCCTGAGGCTCTTCACTGGGGCTAGGATGTAGCTCAGTGTGGGAAGAGCAGAAGTGACCCATTTCCAGCAGCCTAGGGCGGGACTTCACCCCTCCTCAGTGGGAATTGGCAAGGGAATATCTGGGGCTACAGTGGAAGGGGGGTGAGGTAGGGGAGCTTGGATTGATTTTCTCTGGGCACCATTTCTGGTGATCTACTTGCTCCCATGCAAATGCCTGGGGTTACTTCGTGACTAATTAGGGTCTCTGGGACTCTGGCCTCTGCTTTTTCTTGCCTTAGAACCATTTCCATGCCCCTAGATGTCTGGGGCCCCCAGGGAGCACTAGGCAGGAAATCCTTGAGCCCCTAGGGAATTTCCTGGGAGCATAAGATACCAAGCAAAAGGACAGCAGATTATATGGTCTGGGCAAAACAAGACAACCCTTTTTAGAGTTTTCTTACCCTCTAACTCTCACCCTAGGGTTTTCACCCTACACCTTAGTGGCTCATTGGAGTCTCTGATCTACCTCATAGATGATGTTAAAGAGGAAGGAGAAAGTGGTCTCGTTCTGAAGTGGTCTTCTCTCTGTTCTTACCCCCAAAATAACTTTCTGAGCTATGCAGCTCAGATGCCTTCATTTGCATCAGCCCATCAATTTGCTTTCTCAGTCCACCCAAATCTTCAGGTTTCAATTAAGAAGCCAAAATATTCCAACTTTGGTGGCACAGTGGATGGGATTTTCATTATAAATGCATTCTGCCCTTCCCCAGCTGGTGGAATTTCGTGCCTAGGTTCCGCATTGGGACAGGATGTGGTAGAAGTCTGGACAATTAGGAATTAAAACAAAAACCCAAAAAACAAACAAAAAAAAACACTTCTTGTCTTTGGTGGAACTCAGGGTTGAAGTCAAATATAGGTGGCGTTAATGACCTCAGCTTTTTCTCAGCACTGTGATGTTTCCTACTTGAAGAATTGTCAGAAGTGGTAAGTTGTAGGTGAAATCCCCTACCTGGAAAATGAGAGTTTCTAGAGGTGGAAGTTATTCCCAGGTTGCGGTGGACTCCCCACCTGCTTTCTTGGGTACCAAGTACTCTCTGTGTTAGCCTACCTTTTCACTGGAAAAAAGCTAATTTCAAATTATTTGGTGATTGGTGGAGACCAGCATTTCTCTTTCCAGATGATTTATTTGGACCAACTTCATTTTCCTGTGCTGTCTTTGGGAATTTGTTGAAAACTATTGTTCATGGTATTTTATCTTGGTTAACTAATTCTTTGGAACTTTTCAGTAGCTACCAATTTCTAGGCAGAAGCTTTTTCCTTTAATCGTGCTAATAGAGCACTCCTTCCAAAAAGGAGCTTGGTTGGAATCTACTAGCCACTCTGTAGGAGAAAGAGGCAGTCTGCTTCCTAGAGATTTACAGCCTTGGAAACCCTGTGGGGCAGTTCTGCTCTGTCCTGTAGGGTTGCTATGAGTTGACATAGACTTGGTGGCAGTGAGTTTGGTTTTCTGGTTAGCAGTCAGTTTCCTTATGCACTACACCACCAGAGCTCCTCCACCAGAGTTTGGTACTAAAAGTTAGGATATCAGAATTGTTCTGCCATCGTGTGGCTATGTTGGGTAATTGCATCTTCTCCATAACTCAATGGGCACTGATTTCTGAAATGTAGCAACTTTCCTTTGATCTAGGACCTAGGGCAATGGTTTTCCAACTTTAGTCGGGTGCAGGCATTTGACTCGGTTTGTTTGTTTTCTACTCACAAAGTTTCTGATTCAGTAGGTTGGGGAGGGCTCAAGACCTGCATTTCTGGGTTCCCAGGTGATGCTGTTGCTAGTGGTCCAGGAACTGCATTTTGAGACTCTTGGCCTAGAGTAACGAGAGGCCAGTTGTTTTGAGCGCCTAGCTTCGCCACCACAGATTCCCATCCCGCTCCAAATAAAAGGTGATGAGGGTATTTCAGTCTGTGTAAACTGTATTGACCAGATTTGGAATGGGTGTTACATGTTCTCTTGCCATTAGGGGCGCTCTATGAAATTTTTGCCCCAGTAAGCCATTAAGGAGAGCTCAGAAAAGTGTTAGGAAATAAGGAGTGGAGTTGAGGTGTTGCTTGCCTATGGAGAATCGTATTTTTGATTGGAGCAAAATTGTGACATGGACAAATTTGGACTTAGCCACCTTATGATCTTTCCATATCTTTCGTTGCCTCTAGCTGTTCCCTCTACCTGTCTGAGATCCAAGCTGTGAAGCCTTGCTCCTAACTCTTTTCCCTTAAGCTTAAAATGATAAATGGCTCAGGTAATACCTGTTTTTAGAAATTTTTGAAATAAGAACTAATCTGTGAGCCAGGCATGTTGCTTGAGACACTGCAACCTCAGATGCATTTTCTAGATTAGAATTCAGCTCATGGATATAATGAAGAAGAAAGAAAGGTGGGCCAAAAGCACAGTGGATTTAGGGAACGTGTCATCTAATCTCTTGGTCTCTCAGCCTTGGAGGAAGTAGATCTTGACCACTCGAGGATACCTCCAATAACTGATTGCTTCATGTGTGTTTTCCTTTTCTTCTGGTGAGCACATTCACATCCTCTCTGTGTTGAAAATTTCTGTGTGAAAACAGAAACACAAACTTTTATGCCCTGGGGGCTCAGGATCATAGTCTTGGGGGACACTAAAGTTAATTGGCATAAGATAGGGAACAATGACAATGTTCTACATCCTACTTTGATGAGTAGCGACTCAGGTCTTAAAAGCTTGTGAGTGGCCATCTAAGGTGCAGTTATTGGTCTCTCTTCACATAGGGAAGAAAGAAGAGTGAAGAAAAAGACAAAGGGAACAATGAGTCCAAAGGACTAATGGACCACATGAACCCCTGCCTGTATGATACTGAGACCAGAAGAACTGGATAATACCTGTCTGACTGCTCTGAAAGGGTTCACCATTGGAAATCCCAGATAGAGGGAGAAGTATGTGAAACAAGACTCAACATAAAAAAGACCAGGCCAGATCTGATAGAGACTGGTAGAATTTCTGAGACTTGCTCTTAGTCATCTTTCAAGCTTGAAACTGAGCTTACCCTGTGGTTCACCTTTCAGCCAAATGATTGACAGGCCTATAAGGTGAACAGTAATACCAGGTACACACTCGTCCCACCACTTGTCTGTCAGTTTGTCGTACTGTGGTGGCTTGCGTGTTGCTGTGAGGCTGGAAACTATGCCATCGGTATTTCAAATACCAGCAGGGTCACCCATGGTGGACAGGTTTCAGCGGAGCTTCCAGACTAAGACAGACTAGGAAGAAAGATCGGGCCATCCCCTTCTGAAAAAATTGGCCACTGAAAACTATGTGAAACAGCAAAGATACTGCAGATGGTGCAGGATTGGGCAGTGTTTTGTTGTATTTAAGGTTGCTATGAGTCAGAGGTGACTTGATGGTACCTAACAAGAACAACTACTCAGAACAATCAGCCATAGGATATAAGAAAAGAATTTGCCTAGGGATAAAGCTAAGAAGGCAGGAAGGGATAGGAAAGAAAGATGAACTAACTAACTAACCAGCTCACTGCTATCGAGTTGGATCTGACTCCTAGCAACCCCTCCTTGGGTTTCTGAGGTGGTATCACTATGGAAGTAGATTGCCCAACCTTCCTTCGGAGGAGAGGCTGGTGCGTTTGAACCACCAGCCTTCTGGTTAGCAGTCAAATGCCTTACGCACTTACATTGTGGGGATTGCAGTAAATGTCACAAAACAAAATGCGTATGAATTGTTGAATGGGAAATCAATTTGCTCTGTAAACTTTCACCCAAATCGCAATTAAAAAAACAAAAGAAACTGTGTGCCTTAGGCTCAGGGTTACAGCTCTGAATTTAAAATTTGTTACCTACTTTGAGTTTTCCATGTCAACCAAATCAACATGCTCATATTAACCAGGTTTAACGCAGTTCAGGAGTTCCTGGGTGACACAAATGGTTAACTGCTTGGCAATTAATCAAAAAGTTAGGGGTTCAAGCCCATCCAGAGTGTTATGGAGGAAAGGCCTGGCTGCTTTTGAAAGCGTCATGGAACATGGTTCTACTCGGCAATCCATGGAGTTGCCATAAGTTGGAACCAACTGGAACTGGAATGCAGTTCATGATCTGGTACTTATGGCAAAAATGGAGCAGTTACCACGATCTTTGTAAGAAGATCAGTCACAGGGAGCAGAGGGTTCTTAAAAAAACAGCCAAAGAGTAGGGAAACTGGAACCCAGCACAGAGCTCATCCGGCCCAGACCTTCTGTATATTGATGAAGCTGGAAACCAGAAAGGTGATGGGGAGGCTTTGCTCCAGGTCACCTAAGTCTAGTAGCCGAGCGGAGATGCTAATCCAGGTTTTCAGTCTCCTTAAGTTTCATTCCAGAAGGACTTCAATGTGCCTTATATAAATATGCAGAAATAAGCATGAGAGAGGCTGGGCAAATAAAAAAGTAGAATAGGAAATGTAAGGTGAAACCAGAAGCTAGGTGATTACTTCAGAATTATACTCTGTGGAAATGCACATATCCTGGAAACATGTGATGGATTTGACTGTAAACTTAGTCACTGCCAAGCAAAGAGGTAAAAGCGTTTGCTTAATTTCTTAAAAATTTAAGCATCTTCTTAAATACTCTTTCTAGATACTTATCCAAGAGAAATGGAAAGCATACAAAGTGCACACAAATGTAATACGAGCTTTATTTGTATTAAAAATTGGAAACATTCCCAATGCCTATCAATATGTAAATGGATGAACAAATTGTGTATAGTCATACAATGGAATACCACATAGCAGTAAAAAGGAATGAGTTGATAGACACCACAATATGGACAGGTCTCAAGATAATTATGCTGAATTAGAGAAGTCAGACCAAAAACAGTACATATTTCTACAATTTCGACCTACAAGCTTGTGGAACCCGACCAACACTGGGACAAGTTTCTCAGTCTGTGGTCCACTTTGAGTGGTACAGAAAACCAGAGTGGTCAAACTTGCCCCGTGGCTCAACTTTCCACC